GACAGGCTGTGTGTGCGGCAAGCATGAACTGCTCGTCCGTGACGCGGGATTCGCGCCGCGTGGGGCAGAGAGGAGCGAGTATGAGAAGCATTCAGACACAGGCTGTGTGTGCGCTCTTCTGAATTGGGAAACAATAAAATGTGTAAGATAACGTTCACGTACTAACAAAAACATCTAAGAATGTATCTTTTATTCTCCAGTACTGAAAACAGAACTGATACGGGAGCTTTTGATATGTGCTGTGACGCAGCTTTTGCAAATTACATTTTTTGTTCGTTGTCTGTCATTTCGAAGCTTAAATTGCATACGGTTTTCTTTAGTTTTAATTTGCCTAACTATCGATCTGACCCAGTAGACGCCATAATCCCACTCTGTCTCTCTCCCGTCCCGCTTTCCGGTTGTTTTTTTTGTTTTGTTTTTTAATGGTGGGTGTTTACGCAGTTGGCTAGAGCAGTGCTGATTGGGGAGAACGGAGGTGCGCTCACTCTTGCCCAGGGCAAGTAAGACTGCAACTCAAGGCTGGCAGTCATGCATATGATTAGCAAATCGCAACGTCTCAAATCGCGATTTCGATTCGATTTCGATTAATCGCACAGCCCTATTTCTGACCCTGCATAGCTGGGTAGCAACGCACAGCAACACAACTACCACGTTCAAGGCCCAGAAAGGTAGTAAGTACATCATTAAGATAGTCCATGTGACATCAGTGGTTCAACCGTAATTTTATGAAGCTACGAGAATACTTTTTATGTGCAAAGAAAACTAAAATAATGACTTAATGCATAAAAATTAAGGTTGAACCACTGATATCACATGGACTATTTTAACGATGTCCTTACTAACTTTCTGGACCTTGAACCTGTCAGTTGTGTTGTGTTGTGTTGTGTTGTGTCTATGCAGGGTCAGAAAGCTCTCGGATTTCATCAAAAATATCTTAATTTGTGTTCCGATAATGAACAAAAGGTCTTAGAAAGGTAGTAAGGACATCATTAAAATAGTCCATGTGACATCAGTGGTTCAACCGTAATTTTATGAAGCTACGAGAATACTTTTTATGTGCAAAGAAAACTAAAATAATGACTTAATGCATAAAAATTAAGGTTGAACCACTGATATCACATGGACTATTTTAACGATGTCCTTACTAACTTTCTGGACCTTGAACCTGTCAGTTGTGTTGTGTTGTGTTGTGTTGTGTTGTGTTGTGTTGTGTTG